GAGAGAGAGAGAGAGAGAGAGAGAGAGAAAAGGAGGGAGGGAGGGAGGGAGGGAGGGAGGGAGGGAGGGAGGGAGGAAAAAAACAAAACATTGATGTGAGAGTGAAACATTGATCAGCTAACTCCTGCACGCCCCCCGTCGGGGATCGAGCCCGCAATCCAGGCATATACCCTGACTGGGAATTGATCCCACAATTAATCCCACAATGCTCAACCAACTGAGCCACACTGGCCAGGGCTGGTGGGTTGGCTTCTAACAAAGTACTTTACACCTCATTACATTTATAAAATGAGGAGGCTAAATGAGAGGATCTCTAAGGCTACCATAATATAATTTTCTATGATTCTAGGTAGCCTTCAATTTGCAGGAAAAGGCAGACATGAGAAGTAGAAGGTAAATGAGCTTTGGGAAACCACATGTGCCCTATTTAAAGGCTCCGTCAATTCTATAATTTGGATTTTTGTTTATGGGACTTTTTTTAAGTTGAATTTATTGAGGTTAACAAAATTATATAGGTTCCAGGTGCACAATTTCACAACTCAGCGTCTGTACAATGTATTATGTGTTCACCACCCCAAGTCAAGTTTCCTTCATCACCATTTATCCCCACTTTACCCTCCTCCACCTCCCCGTACCTCCACCCCCCAGGACTTTCTTATAAGAGGACATACCAAATTAAACAAAAAGAACACACAAATCAATGACCAGTTTTAAGAATTAGGAAAAGGGGTAGGAGCCTACTCTGAAGGCTTTCTTTCAACTTATCCACAGACATTCTTGCTGCCTTAAGACAGTTATTAGAAATATATGTGGTCATTTATGATTCAACAAGTTATTATTAAGCATTGGAGAGTATTTTTTGTAGCGAACACAGAGACACACTTCAAGCAATACAGAAAAAGTCCTTGATTTGATTCTCTATAAAAGTGAGGGAAGAGAAATGCATTGAGAATTTACACTGATAAAACTTAAGATTCCATATTATGAAAGAAGAGAAAACAAATAACAAAATTAAGACTTCAGCAGGCGTAACAAAATAGCAGAGAGAAAACAAAACAAAAAAAAAGGCATTCAGGAGAGTTCAAGTTCCTTGAAATACCTACTTGTTTTTGCTTGTACATATATAAACTCTGGAAGATACTACTAACAGGTTACCTGCTCAGGGAGACAGGAAGTGAGCAGAGAGAGTAAGGTGTAAAAAGGAGACTTTTTACTGAATACCTTTTGTAAGAATATCTTTTTACTGAATTTTTAACCATGTAAATATATTACCAATTTTAAAAATTAAATAAATAAAAATTTCAAGTGCTCCTCAAATTCCATTATTTACAGGAAACAGTTGTAAAACAAGAAAGCCAAAGAAAGGAGACATTAGAACAAGGTGCCAAGAGGCAAAGAAAATGCTGTAGCATTGGGAGGTCTGAGGCAATCCAGAGAGAGGACGATCCAGGTTTTTTCAAGAACCAGCAGGGAAGTCAGTTGAAATGCAACGTGGACAATACTGTTGAGGACGCTAAGAAGCAGATGACAGCTCAAACCAGCACCAGCTGGTACAAGAGTATCCTGAAAATGTGATATACAAATTTTAAGGCTCTGAGTGCCTGGATAGTGTGAAATCCACAATGGGATGAAACCAGGACTTTACTAACAGAGAAGTAGCTTTCTTTCATCCTTAAAATAAAGAGGGAAGAAAATAAGAAACAAGTTTCTATAAGAGTAACAAAAACTATTAATTAATTTGAAAAGATAAAGAAATCCACTTTCATCATTTAGCAAAGAAAAGAAATTCTATTTTGCAAGAATTATTTAAGGCAGTTCTGGAAAAACTATAGAACGGAATGTCCTCTTAAAGTCATTTCTAACCTCAGGATTTTTTTATTTTGGTTTAATCCCCAGTGTGCTTCCTTGAAGGGGAGACCTTGCTAATTTGACGTAGTGAAAGGCCTAGTTAGTAAGAAGTAATGCCAGTGAAGATTTGCAAGTAAGCTTGAGCAAACTTATCTTTAATCAACTGAAAAATCCCTTACTTAAAAGTATAATTAAAACTTCTGAAGTGCTACTAATGTTCTTTCTTGTCATGGGTGTTACTTTGTTTGCTTTATAATAATCATTAAATTAGGTACTTACGAACTTTTCTGCATGGTGGCATAGTATGGTGGTAGAGTTCACAATTATTTTTAAAGGATTTCAAAAATAACAACACAACAATTAAAGCTATTCTTTCCATGAACTATTTACCCCTATGGTGAAACCAAAGGCTGAAGTTAGACTGTCTATCACGAAAGCCAGTCCCTCGTGGAACATTATCAGTATCTGGCGTACCTAAGGAATGATACTGACCAGGGCCAGAAACCCACCCACTTTGGCTCCTCTCCCCCAGGCCAGGGCCGCTGAAGTCTGAGGCATTAGATATTGTCTATAGGGCAGGAATCATGGGGAAGGCACGAAAAGGAACACTGGGGCTCTGACAGCAAATAGCTCTATTATATGTTTTTCATATATTAATTCAGGCTCAAAAAAGAAAATTTAATTTGTATATGAGTTAGAAAAATAAAGAGTTCAAATAAAAGTAAAGAGGTTTTAGCCACCTGAAAGGCAAGGCTCCAAAGGGCTTTACCTGTCTGCTTATTGCTATGAGTACTTTCTGAAAAAGTTACACCAACTGGCTCAACTTATTTAAGTAGGCACAACCTGAATCCTGCAAGTTATCATTCATTTATAGTTCTAATAAGGACATGGATGCAAGTGTAGGAAAGAGGAAGGAAACATATTTCAAAACTTTACGACTAAAATATTTTTCTAAAAACAGTCGAAGTTTCTATGTTCCCTTATTCACTCACCCAGAAAGTAAGTTTGCCTCCTCTCTCATCCACGTACCCCTACTCGCAAAGGCCCATGTAAAAAAGTTAAACTTCAAAAAAGGGAAGAGTAAATGGGGAAATTGATGACAGTTTATGAAAACTGCTCTGGTCCAGAACTTGGTATCTGAAAAAAAATCCTTAAAAATTATGTCCAACTTCTCAGTTTCTGGATGAGAAAATTTACGTCTATAGATGTGCAGTGACTCGCTAAAGGGCATGAATTAGTTTTGAGAAGTTTGTTTCTTCACTTATTACTTTCTTTTCCCATAAATTACTTTGTAGCTTGAAAAATACATATACTAAAAAAAGAAAAACAGAAATAATAAGCATGGTAAATTATGGTAGAGTCAGGATTTATTACGTCCAGTCTACTGTTCTTTATATTATGTTGTGTTCCTTACACTTTCTAAATTTCCCAGTGGAAGATATAAGCTACCGGTTCCACTTTTTCCTATTAGGTAGGACAATTTTGTGTAGAGAGCGTCTTAAATGCTTTTGCCATCCTGAACTAAAAGTGCTTCCATAAGTATAACTAAGTCAAGAGATCTATTGGCCTCGTCTTACCTCTGTCCCATAATTAAGCCAAAGAAACGGAAATTTCTTCTAAAATGGAAATACTAAAAGGAGATTTAATTAAAGGCAGTTTTGTTAATAAAGGCAGTTTAGTTAAGCTTTATATTTATAAAAATATAATTACACAACCCCCCCTCCCGAATCTGGAAAAACGATTGATTTAATTACTTAAATGACATCTGTTAAAAGAGGGATCCCCTAAAATGGTATCCAATGTTAGTCCTCACTGTTCAATGGCTAATTGCTTGGCTGGTGGATTATCCAGGGGGCTCTGCTTCTCTACTTGTTGCCTTGTTTTGTAAGTTAATCATGAGGAAGAAACCCAAGGTTTGGTCGATTATTTGTTAGGGAGTTTTGAAATTCGACCAAATGAAGATTGGTATTTCTTTCACCTATGCTCCTTACTAGCAGGAATAACAGGATAGACTCTAATGCAAAAATCAGTGCTCGCTCAACCCAGACAACTGTGTAACAAGGCCAAAGACCCAGAGTCCCCGTAACCGGTTTGGCTCAGTGGATAGAGCGTCGGCCTGCAGACTGAAGGGTCCCAGGTTCGATTCCAGTCAAGGATATGTACCTTGGTTGTGGGCACATCCCCAGTAGGAGGTGTGCAGGAGGCAGCTGATCGATGTTTCTCTCTCATCGATGTTTCTAACTATCTCTCTCCCTTCCTCTCTATAAAAAAAATCAATAAAATATATTTAAAAAAACACAAAAAAAACCCCACAAAAAAACCCAAAGACCCAGAGTCTCTCCTCATTGACCCAGTTTGGCTTCCTCTATTCTATTCCTGTGCCCAGTAGCGATGCTTCAATGTAAAAAATAGAGCTGGTAAGAGTACAAATCTATCATCTGCACTGTATTAACAGGCTCTGTTAATGTCACAATACCAACACCAACCTTATTTTTATTTATTTTTTGCTAATCCTCAGCTGAGAATATTTTTCCCATTGATTTTTAGAGAGAGTAGGAGGGAGGGAGGGAAGAAGGGGAAGGAAGAGAGAGAAAGAGAGAGAGAGAGAGAGAGAGAGAGAGAGAGAGAGAAACATTGATGTGAAAAAAACACATTGATTAGTTGCCTCCTGCACACGCCCGGCCATGGATCAAACCTGCAACCCAGGTCCACGCCCTTGACCGGGAATCGAACCTGAGACCTTTTAGTGCACACCAACGCTCTGACCACCGAGCAACACTGGCCAGGGCCATCTTTATATTTAAAGATAGAATTTTGAATGTGAGTGTAAGATTCTTTAGGGCTATACCATCTTTTACTATGTCATCTTTCTTGGACTCTATTAAATACTTCCATTCCATTTATGTCCTCTTCTTCTAATCTGGGCAGGAGCCAAAAAACATAAGTCTTATTAAGAGAGTTCAGAAGTGCCACAGCCCACAAATGACCCTTAGCAGCAATTAAACTGAAAAATAATCCCCATGAGCCAGAACTGCAACGAAAGGTTAACTACTTATCCAAACTTTGGCAAAGAGGCAGCTCTTTCTCCCGTGTGCCCCAAGCCTGCGAGGAAAGGGGAATCTGAAGCTGTCCCTCCACCTCCTGCCACTCACTTTCTGCGTCAAATAGTATGGGTCAAAGTCCTCCAGGGGAACAGCGACCAGGCCTTGTGGGATGTCCCCATAGATGAAAGGCAAACTCTTCCCGGCTTCCAGGTCACTGTTGGGCTTGGGCTTGCTGTCCTCATCGTCGTCCCGGTGGCTGCCATCTCCCTTTGGTGGTTTCTTGAGCTTGCTCTCGGCAATGCGCCTCTCGATGTTTGCCAGTGACTCGGGGGTGAAAGGCTTGAAACTATCAGGGCCTGGTGGTGCGAGCAGCCGCCCTGCCATCTTCTCATCCTGCAGCAGCTTCGTTAGTTATGCTGCATCCAGGACAGGCCAGCTCTGGAAGGAAAAGCAACACAGACAGCATTAATCAATCACTGCTCGGAAAGGAGGCCAGACTAAACCGTCTCACTCAGCCTGTACTCACAACCTCTGCACCACATCGTTTCTTCCATGACATGGTTACTTTTCTCTTCAGAAAAATCTGTGGCGTGAATGGATTAGGTCATGTCAGAACCACCCCTCAGGGGAATGATCAGCTAGAAGATCAAAAGATGGGAGTTTCCTGAATGCTGGTATTTATTATTCACTTAAGATGCAACTCATTGTCGTAACTGGTTTGGCTCAGTGGATAGAGCATCGGCCTGTGGACTGAAGGGTCCCAGGTTTGATCCCGGTCAAGGGCATGTACCTTGGTTGCGGGCACATCCCCAGTAGGGGGTGTGCAAGAGGCAGCTAATCGATATTTCTCTCTCATTGATGTTTCTAACTCTATCCCTCTCCCTTCCTCTCTGTAAAAAATCAATAAAATATATTTTTAAAAAAAGATGTAACTCATTGTTAGGAACCACATACAACTACTGTACAAAAATAAATTCCAGCCCTGGCCAGTTTGGCTCAGTGGATAGAGCGTTGGCCTATGGACTGAAGGGTCCTGGGTTCGATTCCGGTCAAGGGCATGTACCTTGGTTGCAGGCACATTCCCAGTGTGGGGTGTGCTGGAGGCAGCTGATCGATGTTTCTCTCTCTCGATGTTCCTGACTCTCTGTCCCTCTCCCTTCCTCTCTGTCAAAAATCAATAAAATATATCTTTTTAAAAAGTAAATAAATAAATTCCATATCCTCAAGGAACTTTTATTCTAAACTAATAAGGCACATTTAATGTCACCCAGGCGTATGTGTTAGCTTTGGACAAGTCACCTTCCTTTTCTGGAACTCCATTTCCCAAAGAAATACTATAACTTCCAAGGACAGCACAAGGGTAAATTGTCAGTCTTTCCAGCTTCTGAAAACACTAAACCTTTCAAAACTTTGGAGGCACAAAATATAGATAAAATAGCTTCCATCTGCGTTGGCGCTTCTGTTTCAAGGTATTTTTCAATTCACCAAGTTGTGTAAAATCCATCCAGTATAAAAGCTCAGAAGTACCTTCTTTGATGACCAAGCTCCTGCCAGGGACAAACGCAAAACACTTTCCTCTGTGGAGAGGGCAGACACTGCTCTCCGCACCCCCGCACAGCAGCAAGGAAAAGCAGATGGGAGAGGCATTTTAGAGGACTTCCTGATGCAACAGCATTGCAGCCCTGCGGGGTGAATGACAGCAGGAAAGCCTGCGTGCAACCAGAGAGGGGTTCAAAGCAGGAAGGACGGGAAGAGAGAACAGAGTAACAAACCACAATTCCCTTCTGAAAAGAACAACTGAGGTGGTGCCAAAACAGAGCCAGTGATTTCTAAGCATGGTATTTGAAAGCAATTTCCATTTCCATGTACACAGGTTTCTGTAAATCCATGCCCTGAGACAAAGGACTCCCTAATGTCAAAAGGGACACGGTGTTTGGTGACTGTCACAAAAGGACCCTGGCAGGCGAGTCTAACCATGAAAGCTTTAGGGTGTCACTGGCAGTTCATCGGGTGCTCCTGGCGCTGCTCTTCCTGTAGTTCGGTGAGCCCCACAAAGACAATCTGAGATTTTTATTTTTAAAGCTAGAGGTTGTTCTTTCCCTCCTCCTTAGCCCTCAGGGTCCACTTTAAGGCACCATCCATAAAACTCCAGGCTCCTCGGGAGAACAGTAGTGGAGTTAACTCTAAATAGTTTGGGAGTGAAATACCCAGGGGCTCCTTTTATAAATACACCCGCAGAGATCCCAGCTTTCTCTAGTGGTGTGATCGCTACGCGTTGCAAAGGCAGTAAGTAGTGTCCACATGCAGGCTGGTCGGCTCACTCACAGCACAGGACTAATGAGGCCAGAACCACAAGTTAGCCCCACGCAGACCTGTCAGCTTCTCGCTGTGCAAAAGAACACGGTTCCACAGGCGGTATGGTCAAATAGGTCGTTTGCACATATGAAGCATGAAATTTTACAGCTTTGAGGGATTACAGATCCAGTCCATTTCATTTTACAGGGTAGGAAACTTGGGGACTTAAGACATTTCATTTTACAGGTTAGGAGACACAGGGCCAGGATAAAATATCCTGAACAACCTGCCCAAAGACACAGGGCCAGGATAAAAATCACAACCAAAGAGCTCTGACTCCTTAACTCACACTCCTGCTATTATGACAAATACTAGAGGCCTGGTGCACAAGATTTGTGCACTGGAGGGGGGGGGGTCCCTCAGCCCGTTCTGTGCCCTCCCATAGTCTGGGACCCCTCGGGTGATGTCTGCCTGCCGGCTTAGGCCCGATCCCTCTCACAGTCCGGGGCTCTCGTAGTCCAGGACCCCTCGCTCCTTACCACCCGCCTGCAGTGGAGGTGGAAGAGGCTCCTGCCACTGCTGCTGTGCTCACCAGCTGTGAGCCTGGCTTTTGGTTGAGCGGCGCTCCCCCTGTGGGAGCGCACTGACCAGCAGGGGGCAGCTTCTGCATTGAGCGTCTGCCCCCTCATGGTCAGTGCGCATCATAGCGACCGGTCGTTCCTCAGTTGGGTCGATTTGCATATTAGCCTTTTATTATATAGGATCAGTTATCTATCCTCCTATCCTACTCTAACTCCCAGTACTTCACAACAGGAAGCATCTGAGTCATCGAGTAAGTTACATGCAAAGACCAATAGTTTCACTAATCCAAGACTTCATTTACAATGTTTTCCCCAACTTAGAATTCCTTCTTCTTCATCCATTTCCTCCTATCTATCCCTGAATTACCTCCCATAAATCCCCACTCCTCTACAGAGCCTTCCCACCAGCTCCAGCCTTTACTATTTTCCCCCTTGTGAACTCCTAAAGCTTTATCATGATCTTAGCTAACATTTATCATGTACTTACTATGTTTCAGGCATTGGTCCAAGCACCTTGCTTGTATTAGTTCATTTAATCTCCAGAACAATAAATGAGGTAGATATTATTAAATTACATGCTAGAAAATGACATAGTCAGGACTCAAAACATCCTGCTCACATTTGTTTTGGCTTTTAAGTATTGTTGAATTGCACCATATAAATTCCCAGAGGTCATGGGTGGTATCTTAAACTTCTTTTGTATCCTTCCACAGAGAACTGGATTATGTCTGGAACCCAAAATTAGTCCAAATCCCTGGGACTCCATGGTTCCCACAGCCACACTCATTTTCAACTTTGAGTCTCCCTCAGTTCCGACTTAGAGGACAAATAATACTGCAAGGAAGTCACTGAAGATGCTGACAAACTCTTGTGACCTGATATACACACCTGGGTTCTTCACAGGTAAAGTTGTCCAAGGCTAAGCCCTCTGCCTTTGCTTCCAGATCCTATTTCCTCCTGACTTCCCCAAGACCATGTTCCTTCAATTACCCCTGCTCTCTATGACATTCTCAATCTTTCCTTTTCCTCACCTACTTCTGTATCTTCTCCTTTAATCTTCACCCCCACCACCCACTCTCTCTTCGTTTGCCTTAAATGATCCTGGTTCTATCCACATCTGCAGACTCCTCTTCCCCTACAACCTTTTCCTTTTCTAAGGGCCGGCCTTCTGCAATCTCTCTGATACACTTTCTTTCAGGGATCTCATCTACTCAAAATAATCTGTACGTGGGTGATTTTCAGATTCCTATCCAAAGAGCCCTGACTGTTCTTCTGAACCCCACAACTGCTGTCACCACTGGGCTTGACCGGTATTGGTCAGTGATTGAGCGTCAACCTATGAACCAGGAGGTCACGATTCAATTCCCGATCAGGGCACATGATCAGGTTGGGGACTTGACCTCTACGAGGTAGCTGATCAATGATTCTCTCTCATCATTGATGTTTCTATCTCTCTCTCCCACTCCCTTCCTCTCTGAATAAAAATATATAATTTAAAAAACAACAACAACAACTACACGTTTTTACTTCCCAAACTGATTCCTCCTCCGGGCCTTCTAAATTCTGTTATTGGGGCCATCATTTTTCCAGGCACCTAAGTATGGAACCTCAGTCATGTTTGCCCTGTCTTCTTTGCTGTCCTTGTCCAACCATTCACCAGCCTTACTAATTCTTCCTTCTGAGTTTCCATTTAAAATAGCATCACCCAATAAGTCAGTCAGAGAAAGACAAATACCACATGATTTCACCTATATATAGAATCCAAAGAACAAAATAAACAAATAAACAAAATTGAAGCAGACTCATAAACAGAGAACAGAGTGATGGTTGCCAAAGGGGAGTGGGTTAGAGAACTGGGTGAAAAAGGTGAGGGTTTAAGAAGTACAAATTGGTAGTTTGTACTTCTTATGTAAGTACAGCATAGGGAATATATAGCCAGTAATATTGTAATAACTATGTATGGTGCCAGGTGGGTACTGGAAATATCGGGGGAACACTTCCGTAAAGTATATGATTTCCTAACCACTATGCTGTACACCTGAAACTAATACAAAATATTGAATGTAAACTGTAATTGAAAAAAAGACATTAAATAGTGAAAAACAAACCAAAAAAAATAGCATCACCCTAATTCAGGTCATATGCAACAGTCTCCCACTTGTGGACCAATCTTCAGTCCACCCAGCACATCTCCAAAGGTCTGTTTCCCTAAAAATATGCCTCCATTATGTCATTTCCCTCCCTCTGAACTATCAGAGTTATGGACTGAATCCATTTCACTGCCATTCAAGGCCTTTTACAACCTCACTTCCCAAGCATTTTCTTCCACTGCTTCCCTGCAAGAACATCTACTCTGGTAACTCTGCAAGAACATCTACTCTGGTAACTGTTTTTGTTTTGGTTTTCTAGTTTGTTTTTCTAAGGTAGCACATAGTACAAGTGAACAGGTCTTAAGTGTACAGACTGGTTATTTTGTGTGTGTGTGTGTGTGTGTGTGTGTGTGTGTAT